TAACTCATGAACAATTTGCCAGATTCAAACCAAAGTTGGCATACAACATCCGTTTAATATGATTATGTGTACATGAAAAAATTCCCCATGATTCAAGTAGTTTAGGCGGCCATCTTGAATTTATCACAAAAATGCAAAATACCTCCAAAAAAATCTTTATTATGAATAACATTGGACAGATGACTATCAATGGTTATGTCTGTTGATTCCAGTGTTGTTCATAAACCAAAATACCAGAGGACTTGTTAAGAACATTGCATTCTAGACATGAAACGTTCGTCAAATAAGCACATCAAGCAAGTGCAATTTGCCATCAGCCATGCAGGCTCGAAACCCGTCATTGCTGCTATGCAGCTATATTTATTATTATTATTATTATAAGATTCTTTAATGTCCTTGCATTGAATTTGCTTGAATCATTAAATATCATTGTTATAAGTAGAAATGCTAAAAAATGGGTATCAATTCTCCTTTCCTTTATTTGTTCTATTGCCCACTTCCCCCAAATCAGAAAAAAACTTGGCATCTACGTCACGGTGAGGAACCGTGCTTACGTGAGCTGCCTTCTCCTCAGCGAATGTGACAACGCCCTCAAACTGATCAATTGTGCTATTAAGGTTATTTCAATAAGGTTAGCCATTGGAGTTCAAGCGCTCGGCGTTGTTGTTACTGTGTTTTGCTAAATACGCTGTAAATAGTTGCATGTGAGCACAGATCAGGCCAGTTTGTATGTTGCTGAATTTGGCTGCAGTTTTATTATAAGGTATGTAATAATTCGCCGTTCTTTGACTTGCCAGGTATGTTGTCAAATCACAACTGCTTTCACATTTGTAAAAAAGACTGTACATTTACGGAATATGTATAATGTTGTACCAACTCATTATCATTGTTTATATAAAATTTCCGTGTGCACCTCGGTTCACTCAGGCTGTATTACCGCGGGGATGTTGTTAAACTGTACCGTATATGGTAGTAGTACGATTCATAAACAGGGAAGTTTGTGTACAAAATTGTTAGGGGATTGATTGTCATGCCAGTTTCTAGTAAAATGTTGTAAAGTTCATTTTCAATGCCAAGTATATTTTTGTCACCTTTCGTAAAATAACATTTTTGTTTTCCATACACCCCCCCAATGTGATCAAGACCCTTAGACAATGGGAAATTATGTTTTCCATACACCCCCCAATGTGATCAAGACCCTTAGACAATGGGAAATTATGTTTGTTTGGTAAAAAATTAACAAAAAATTTGAGAGAAATGTATTAAAATTGCAAAAAATGTTGACCAGGAGGAAAAATATGCCATTCAATGAAAGGATTAGACGGCCCTGATATTTTGTTTTATATGTACATTTTTTTTTCTGTTTTATTTAATAATGTATTATTAAGTTTACAATCTTCTATGGGTAGCCCAGGATTAGTGAAAACAAAAACAAAATCCTTAAAATTATTGGCTTTTATCAAAAAGTCCAGTTTTACTACAAGAAATAAAATTCTTGAATGACCACCAATTAAACAATTAAACTGAATTCCTAAATGCTTTTATAATGGTTTTATGTCATATGCTGTTGCTCATAAAACACAACTAAAAATAGAAGAATTATGGAAATATTCACACAACATGGGTCAAACACCATGAAAAATGGTGATTTTAGGGCAATTCGTCATTGGTTCTTATGGCAATAAGTCTCAAAATTTGGTTTGAATTCTAGGTAAGATTAATACCTGTCATGAATTATAATGATTATTAATATTTTATTTTGTATTAAGGAAAAATAACAACAGTTTTTCAGTGTTCTGATCCTGAGACTTTTAGCCAACACTGTATTAGTGTTCCATTTGCAATATGCCACTCCCTTAAAAACTAGATACATACTAGATTTATGCTAAGGTCTGGCACACTATGGATTGTCATAAGCATCTATAGATTTACTGTATGATCATTGGTCAGTTCAAATATTGTTTTGTTGATGACCATTGACTTTTCAGGTTGGTATCTTCACAACAATCCCGGAATTTGTTCAAACTTAAGGGTGGTGGTTTTCTTCCCAACACATAATGTTTGATATGGGACTCATAGCAACACATGTAAAATGCATTGTTTGTTTACACAAAATTCAAATGCACACATTCTGAAAAAAAATTGCAATGGTAAAAATGAATTGCAACTGATAAACAGATGCATATTTTTTTTCTGCATTTAACAGTGACAATATTTTGTGTCAAAATTTGTCTACAATCATTTTTGTGTTACCAGTAGTTGAAAGTATGTGAACTATTATGGCTTCCTGTCAATCTTTTTTTTTAAGAAAACAATAATATTTTTTTTTTCATCATATGTCACTGAGCAAAATTTTGTGATATTGGGGAATATCCTTGCCATAGGAAAACAATGGTAAAATTCCTCAAAATAGACAAAACATGCTATTTTCATGATATTTTATTAGTCAATTTTCTCTGAACCGAGTGATTTTCTTTTAACATGATATACAAAATATGTAAAAATTAATAAAAGTATATTTTTACTTTTGTGTAGCATTCTACTTTGACAATTGCAGAGATACCATGCAGGCAATTATCAAGTAAATTCTTACCATAATGCCTTTATGCTATTCAAAATCTTTCACAATCTCAATTAATATAAAGCATTTTCATAAATTTTGGCTTTAAAATGACGTGACCTCTGAATACTGAAATTGAAGCCAATATAAGTTGTGCCAGTAATTCAACAACCTTATCAAGCATAATAATATTTTTTTTAAACTTCATTAGTGGGTAGTTTGCAAATAGAAATATTATACACCCTGTCCTGTGTGCATAAAGAGTATTTTTTTTTTATTTTTTGAATTGCTAATTCACTAGTCTATAATGGAAATACTATGTTCCACAATATCGGTTTACTTCTATATTTAACCATGGTACCTGTAGGAATCTAAAAATAAACAAGCCTCAGTTTTTTTCACTAGTATATCATGAACTGATAAACCTGATGCATTAAAAAACAAATTTTAGCTGTATTTGAGAATAAAAATAGTAATAACTTTATTGGGGGTTGGCTATTACAAATTGGAGGGAGGGAGGGGTAGGTGGATGGGAAGTAATATATACACACAGATAATACGAAAAAAAAAAATTATGATAGAAAGACATTTGACAGAGATAAATTATTTGTAGAGTTTTCCTGGAATGTCGCCATTCAGATATTCTAATGAACAACAGCCTCATTGTGTTGTATGATATCATTAAATACTGGTTTCTTGAAACAATATATAATATATCACTTTTATATGCTTGTCTCTATCATGTTACAAAAATAAAAAAAATTGTATCTGTAAAACAGTTTTGTTGTTCATTGGCTTGAGAATCAATGATTTACATGTATATAGAAAAAAGATTTATAAAAAAAAAATAGTCAATAAAATGTACAGTTATTTTAATTTTATTTTTTTAATTCTAATATTATACACTTATTGTAATATGGATATATAATTTTTCTGTATAATTTTAATTAAAATTAGATTGTAAAGCAAAATAATATCATTTATTCGAAATATGGTTTCCCACAACAACTCAGATTACATATTTTCAATTGTGCATTTATTAGTCCCCGTTCGGACGTAGTCCGAAAACGGGGACTTATGGTTTGCCCTGTGTGCGTCCGTGCGTCCGTGCATCCGTGCGTCCGTGATCACCTGTATCTCGAACATGCATGGACCGATTAAGTTCAAACTTCACTCATACATCACACATTATATGGGACATATGCACATGCATTTTTTTCATGATCCGATTAACGATAGCCGAATAGCGGCCATTTTAAGGCCGAAAATGCATCAAAATCGCACATTTTCACCATTCCGGACCCGGATCTCAGTTATGCATGGACAGATTTTGTTTAAATTTGGTACATACATTAAACATAATAGGACCTTGATGCACGTCTTTTTTTTTTTTGGATCGGCTTCGAAATAGCCGACTGGCGGCCATTTTGTTTTAAAGAATTCAGTTCTGGATCCGTATCTGAGACATGCTTGGATTGATCGAGTTCAAACTTCACACACACAAGGTACATCATGTCACAAATATGTATGTGCATTTGTTTCATGATCTCATTAACGATAGCCAAATGGCGGCCGCTTTAAGGTCGAAAATGCATTGAAATCGCACATTTTCACCATTCCGGACCCGGATCTCAGTTATGCATGGACGGATTTCATTCAAATTTGGTACATACATTAAACATAATAGGA